AGTGAGTGGAAGTTGGAGATTTATGTCATGTCTCGCCGTGTTTGTTTGAAAATTGTTTTACGTGCAAACAGAACATATTTACCGTCAGTGTCCTCTAACCTAATTGTGTCAAAGATTTTACAATAAATAACTAGGTCAAAATGTGATGGTAATTGAGGCAAAAACAATGGTACTTTAGTTAAAGTTGTGACTTAAATTAATGGCGTTAAAGAAAAGGTGAATTAGATTAATGGGGTCAAAGATTTGACGTGTTAACGATGTTCAATGGATGACGAAAATTAATGTAGTCAGGGAGATGACACAGATTCATTGAGTCGTCTATTGTCATGGTGTGACCTAAATTAATGGTATCAAAGCCATTATCTCTATTTCCATGATTTTTTTTCTCAACCTAGGCGTGAACTAAATACATCCTTATGTAACCAAATAACACTTATTGCAGCCAAAGTTGCTCAGCTAAACTGTGTCCTTCCTGTGTATGTTAGAGTATTTAACTTGCTACGAAACCCATTGTAAAAATACAAATAAAATTTCACTTCAGATGCAGTGTAATCAGACATTAAATGGTGCTACTTGTTTCAATAGATTTCAAATCAATACACAGGGTATCAGGTACATAGAAAATTGGCCGACGAGATATCAAATTTATGATTTTTATATGGGAAGTCCAGTCGTATGATAATGATAGTGGTAGTTAGTGAATGTCGAATTTATCATTAATTATACATCAGATAACAATAACGACCAGGGTAACACTTGGATCTGTTGTGTCAGGTAGTGTGACGACCCGGACATGGTACAAGTGACTGCGGTACACCACTGTAGCCACATTACACCCGCCTTACAAATGAATGCCGCTTAATTCAATACTTGGCACTGACCTCTTTATGTGTATTTGTTGTAGGAAATTAACTTTCCGTCCAATCATGTTTTCAAGTGCAAATGAAACAACGTTGTTGTTTGTCGTTTGTGACTTGTATATAACGTTGTCCCCTACTTAACTGTTGTACCACTATCCTGCCCCCACTAATCCATTGTACCACTATCCTGCCCCCACTAATCCGTTGTGTCACTATCGTACTGCCACTAATCCGTTGTGCCACTATCCTGCCTCCACTAATCCGTTGTGTCACTATCCTGCCCCCACTTAACCGTTGTGTCACTATCGTGCCACCACTAATCCGTTGTGTCACTATCGTGCCCACACTAATTTGCTGTGCCACTATCGTGCCCCCACTAATCCGTTATGCCACTATCCTGCCCCCACTAATCCGTTGTGCCACTATCGTGCCCCCACTAATCTGTTTTGCCTCTATCCTGCCCCCACTAATCTGCTGTGCCACTATCGTGCCCCCACTAATCCGTTGTGCCTCTATCCTGCCCCCACTAATCTGTTGTGTCACTATCCTGCCCCCACTAATCCGTTGTGTCACTATCGTGCTGCCACTAATCCGTTGTGCCACTATCCTGCCCCCACTAATCTGCTGTGCCACTATCGTGCCCCCACTAATCCGTTGTGTCACTATCATACTGCCATTAATCTGTTTTGCCTCTATCGTGCCCCCACTAATCTGTTTTGCCTCTATCCTGCCCCCACTGATCTGCTGTGCCACTATCGTGCCCCCACTAATCCGTTATGCCACTATCCTGTCCCCACTAATCCGTTGTGCCACTATCGTGCTGCCACTTATCTGTTGTGCAAATATTTAGTCCTTTATCGTTTGTGCCATTTCCCAATCAATACTAATCCCGATGTCCTTCAGTTATGTTCATTTAGAGGGAATAAGGAAGAAATATGTTTTATTTACTGAAAGGAATGGACTATTTTTCCTACTGATATCATAGATGGCGATATTATCAACTAAGGACAAACGTGAATGGATTAATGAGAGAGTGACGGTATGAAGCCTACTAAGAAAGGCGGTGGCTGGATTATGTATTGAGAATGAAGGTGGCGAGGTTATCTAATGAGGACTAAGGTGGCGAGATTATCTAATGAGGACTAGTGTGGCGAGATTATCTAATGAGGACTAAGGTGGCGAGATTATCTAATGAGGACTAAGGTGGCGAGATTATCTAATGAGGACTAAGAAGGCGAGATTATCTAATGAGGACTAAGGTGGCGATATTATCTAATGAGGACTAAGGTGGCGAGATTATCTAATGAGGAATAAAGTGGCGATATTATCTAATGAGGACTAAGGTGGCGATATTATCTAATGAGGACTAAGAAGGCGAGATTATCTAATGAAGACTAAGGTGGCGAGATTATCTAATGAGGACTAAGGTGGCGAGATTATCTAATGAGGACTAAGGTGGCGAGATTATCTAATGAGGAATAAAGTGGCGAGATTATCTAATGAGGAATAAAGTGGCGAGATTATCTAATGAGGAATAAAGTGGCGAGATTATCTAATGAGGACTAAGGTGGCGAGATTATCTAATGAGGACTAAGGTGGCGAGATTATCTAAAGGGGACTAAGGTGGCGAGATTATCTAATGAGGACTAAGGTGGCGAGATTATCTAATGAGGACTAAGGTGGCGAGATTATCTAATGAGGAATAAAGTGGCGAGATTATCTAATGAGGACTAAGGTGGCGAGATTATCTAATGAGGACTAAGGAGGCGAGATTATCTAATGAGGACTAAGGTGGCGAGATTATCTAATGAGGACTGAGGTGGCGAGATTATCTAATGAGGACTAAGGTGGCGAGATTATCTAATGAGGACTAAGGTGGCGAGATTATCTAATGAGGACTAAGGTGGCGAGATTATCTAATGAGGACTAAGGTGGCGATATTATCTAATGAGGACTAAGAAGGCGAGATTATCTAATGAGGAATAAAGTGGCGAGATTATCTAATGAGGACTAAGGTGGCGAGATTATCTAATGAGGACTGAGGTGGCGAGATTATCTAATGAGGACTGAGGTGGCGAGATTATCTAATGAGGACTGAGGTGGCGATATTATCTAATGAGGACTAAGAAGGCGAGATTATCTAATGAGGACTAAGAAGGCGAGATTATCTAAAGGGGACTAAGGTGGCGAGATTATCTAATGAGGACTGAGGTGGCGAGATTATCTAATGAGGACTAAGAAGGCGAGATTATCTAATGAGGACTAAGGTGGCGAGATTATCTAATGAGGACTATTATCTAATGAGGACTGTGGCGAGATTATCTAATGTGGACTAAGAAGGCGAGATTATCTAATGGCGAGATTATCTAATGAGGACTAAGGTGGCGAGATTATCTAATGAGGACTAAGGTGGCGAGATTATCTAATGAGGACTAAGGTGGCGAGATTATCTAATGAGGACTAAGGTGGCGAGATTATCTAATGAGGACTAAGGTGGCGAGATTATCTAATGAGGACTGAGGTGGCGAGATTATCTAATGAGGACTAAGGTGGCGAGATTATCTAATGAGGACTGAGGTGGCGAGATTATCTAATGAAGATTAAGAAGGCGAGATTATCTAATGAGGACTAAGGTGGCGAGATTATCTAATGAGGACTGAGGTGGCGAGATTTTCAAATGAGGAATAAAGTGGCGAGATTATCAAATGAGGACTAAGGTGGCAAGATTATCTAATGAGGACTAAGGTGGCGAGATTATCTCATGAGGACTAGTGTGGCGAGATTATCTAATGAGGACTAAGGAGGCGAGATTATCTAATGAGGACTGAGGTGGCGAGATTATCTAATGAGGACTGAGGTGGCGAGATTATCTAATGAGGACTGTGGTGGCGAGATTATCTAGGGAGGACATCGGATAACGGAAGAATTTGTGTACAAAGTCTGGATTATCGGAAGAATAGAAATGGTCAGACTACTACTAAGTTCATTATCGGTTCCGATAGTTGTGTGATCAAGACTGATTAACGGTTTTAAAGGCAGTGTTTAAAAACCAATTTCCGGATTTGTGATCAGTCATCTCCTTTTCTTTTATTACGTTTCCGTGAAGACGCAAAGGATTATCTGGATATTTTTTTAAATACTGTTTTTCTGTTACGTGCATTTTGTAGATAACAGCAAGCTTTTAATACTAGACAATATCAATTAACAATAAGTAATTTGAGCTTACCTCAAACCAGTAGTACTATATTATATAACAAGGCTTACCTCAAACCAGTAGTACTATATTATATAACAAGGCTTACCTCAAACCAGTAGTACTATATTATATAACAAGGCTTACCTCAAACCAGTGGTACTATATTATATAACAAGGCTTACCTCAAACCAGTAGTACTATATTATATAACAAGGCTTACCTCAAACCAGTAGTACTATATTATATAACAAGGCTTACCTCAAACCAGTAGTACTATATTATATAACAAGGCTTACCTCAAACCAGTAGTACTATATTATATAACAAGGCTTACCTCAAACCAGTTGTACTATATTATATAAAAGGGCTTACCTCAAACTAGTAGTACTTTATTACAGACGAGGTATGTGACTTACCTAAACCTGGTAATACTATATTACAGACGAGGTATGTGACTTACCTAAACCTGGTAGTACTATGTTACAGACGAGGTATGTGGCTTACCTAAACCTGGTAGTACTATGTTACAGACGAGGTATGTGACTTACCTAAACCTGGTAGTACTATATTACAGACGAGGTATGTGACTTACCTAAACCTGGTAATACTATATTACAGACGAGGTATGTGACTTACCTAAACCTGGTAGTACTATGTTACAGACGAGGTATGTGACCTACCTAAACCTGGTAGTACTATGTTACAGACGAGGTATGTGACTTACCTAAACCTGGTAATACTATATTACAAACGAGGTATGTGACTTACCTAAACCTGGTAGTACTATGTTACAGACGAGGTATGTGACTTACCTAAACCTGGTAGTACTATATTACAGACGAGGTATGTGACTTACCTAAACCTGGTAATACTATATTACAGACGAGGTATGTGACTTACCTAAACCTGGTAATACTATATTACAAACGAGGTATGTGACTTACCTAAACCTGGTAGTACTATGTTACAGACGAGACAGGTCACAGCCAAAGGTTTACTCATCACAGGTATAGAATCCCTTAAACTCGAATCATCCTCTTCAATAGGTTGATTCTTCTCCCGAGAGGGACTGTGGTGTATGGTGGTGACCGGGGGTGGTCCCAGCACATATCCAGGTTGGACTGGACGACCGTACCCCGTATACTGTTTACGATGGAGTCGAGGGGAGGGGCTCGGGGTAGACCCTCCACTGTACACAACCTGCATGTCTTAGCTACTATCTACTGGCGGTAACGTTTCATGTGTAATTAAACCATTATTCCATTGTACACACATTGAATGCTAAAAAGTGTTGTGTTTTCTCCTCATTTCGTTAAATGATTCCGTCCTCTGGAGTGGTTAAGCAGATAATTTTCACCACTTATGAAATCTCAGTCGATTTAAACCTCTCCGCTTGACGAAGTGAGCGTCGTTGTCTATAGTATCGACGTCCACCATATGTTGTCATAATAGCGCTATTTACATTAGGACCAGATTTATATGTACAGTGCAGTAGAACACGTGTGAGACGACTCTATCCAGACTTCTCAGCGCTGTCGTTATAACCGCTCAATGTCTCTTCCGACCTTGACATCGGCCTTTCAAACAACATCTTTACACTAATAATACACGGGTTGGTCACTTGAACGTCTTAGTGAGTGTGCCTTACTTTGTGTGCTGCGGGTGGTTCTCCACCAAGCTAATTAACGTGAAAGAGGTGCCTACCTAGGTATCGATCTCTGTACAGCCATATTGTAGTGTGTATGTATTTATCAATTTCATTATATTTTGTTTGATGAGAAGTTATAACGAATTCTAAAAAAGAAGCATGGAAAGCATTTCCATTATTGTAATTGCCGAAAATATTTACCATTCTTGACGGAAATTGATTTTCCGTCGTGTAACTAAAGTTTGAAGGTGAATATTGGTTTTTGTGTCACATTTATTCAGTCTCTAACCAATCCAAATTGTGCATCGATTACTTCATATTGCAATAAGCGAAATGACACATGACAAACAGATTAGTTTAGTTCTATCACAAGCGCTAGAGTATCGGGTTTGATGTATTAATTAAATCTGATGTCACGTGACACTGGAGACATAGCAGGAGAAGTTTCCAGCATTAAAAGGAAGTCTCTGATGCCAGCGTACCTACAAGCGTTCCCTACTGTTAAATTTTCCATTTCTAGACAATAACAATCGTTCTTTCTCTACCTACGGTTTTACATGTCACAACTAATTTGATATCCAAGGCCTTCCAGTATCCTTTCCAGTATCAAGATTCCTCTAGGGCTCTTTAATGTATCCTTTAACAGGATACAGTGGAAAAACCACACTGAGTTGCTAAGGACCTCCAGGACTCTCTGATGTACCCTTTGACAGGATACGGTGGGAAAACCACACCGAGTTGCTAGGGACCTCCAGGACTCTCTGATGTACCCTTTGACAGGATACGGTGGGAAAACCACACCGAGTTGCTAGGGACCTCCAGGACTCTCTGATGTACCCTTTGACAGGATACGATGGGAAAACCACACCGAGTTGCTAGGGACCTCCAGGACTCTCTGATGTACCCTTTGACAGGATACGGTGGGAAAACCACACCGAGTTGCTAGGGACCTCCAGGACTCTCTGATGTACCCTTTGACAGGATACGGTGGGAAAACCACACCGAGTTGCTAGGGACCTCCAGGACTCTCTGATGTACCCTTTGACAGGATAGGGTGGAAAAACCATACCGAGTTGCTAGGGACCTCGATAAATCTCTGACATACCCTTTGACAGGATACAGGGGGAAAACCATACCGACCTGTATGTTGTGTCTCACAAGGAGAAGGCACCTCTTTCGGTTATAATGAAATACAGCAGGGATCTTTCCCTGTCTCCTGTACGGCAGGTAGGCTCGGTGGTTTTGATATTGCTTCCCTTGTTCTCAATTTGAGAACATTTCATTGTTTTCTTGGATTAACAAAACTATACATGACGGATGTTAATATTAGTTAAATTTCTAGTAAGATGTCGTTTCTTTCTTAAAGCACACATTTAACATGTACTTCACATTTTCCCAATTTTGCTGTTAAGGAATGTTCTGCATATATATAATACCACCTTTGACAATCGCTACTGGTGATCTGGTGAAACATTATAACCAGGAATACACAACCAAGCCTTGTTTTAAAATCATTTTACTTTATATCAGAAACTTGCTACTTAAAATCGTACAAAATCATCTAAATCCTGTATATATTAAAGTATTGCGCAAGAGTTCTGACAATCCTTAATCCTAAACGTAATAAAGATAATTTACGATTTCTGTCCTCATTGCTTATATGTGAATTTGACAAATTGCGATTTTGTTTTGTCAGACATTAATGTGCATATTAGCGTGTTACAAGTGATGACCAAACTAAGACTTGATCACGACAGTGGCTCGCCTCCTTTACAGATCATACCACACAGTTCTCTCTACCTGGCTGGCACACTATCATTTTAGCATCTTGAATATATACAAATAAATTTGTATATAAAACTTGTATTAATCACTCTTGTTTGCCTGGATGGAGGCGCGCGAAGGGTCTTACTCTCCCCTCTTCTTTCCTTCGTTTCTCTTTCTCCAAAACGAATTTTTATGAGATTTCTTCGTTGCAGTTACTTTTCGTGTTTTTGGGTTATCTCTGTTATTTTGTTGGAATCGGTTTAAGCAACGCGGAGTTGTCGTCCTTTGTTCACACTCGTGTTCACCCTTCTTAAAGATACCTTCTCACAATAAATGGCGATATATGTGGGAATGACATCGTTGGCACGGTTTTTTTTATACACCATTGAAATATTGTAGAGATTGAACAACTCAAAGATTTTCTTAAAAAGACACAGAAGTGAATAGCACTTAAGTATCTGCATATTAACATAACGCCAATGGAAAAACATTTAAACGATAAAAATGGTTATGATGGACTCTTTAAATATCTAAGGATTATTAGATAAATTGTCTGTTTCGTTTAGAATATTGGAAAATTACTAGAGTTGAGTTCGGATAAATTATGACCGTCGAGGAATAATTAAAACAAAATGGGGCGTTACAGGTATCCTTCGTCATAACTACGCGATTTCGTTTTCAAAAGTTAATTTCATTGGTTGGGATAAGATTCATCAGTTTGGTATCAATGCTATATGATAAGTTTTTGTTGCTTGTTGTTTATGCAGCTTTCTGATTCGTCGAAGTTTTCTTTTTATTTCCGCCAACTTGATAATGATTGGAGGAGTTAATGCAGCACGCCCCTTTTTATGGATCGAATATCTGTCCCCACATACACCTGACACGTGTGTGGATTACTGACATTCAATGGTGTAAAAAGATGGAGTACAACATCACAAATTATCTAAATATCTTACAATGTACACAAATAAATATACATTGTATGTATAGACAACGGATTTTATATCTTTTCACAACTTCGGACTTAAAGCAATATTACGCTACCAGATCAAAAGGTCGTCCGCTTATACAGTCTACATCCGAGAAACAGTTATAGGATGGATTTTAATCAATTACAATCTTCTAGGTGGTGAATTAGAGGAGAATCAAGCAATCAAGGATTACTAGGAGTGCAAGCCAAGTATCTTTCTGACTAAAGGATGTAAACAAACCACCTAACACGTATATTCTGTTGGTGTCCATGTTCGTTTGGAATGTAACGGGCCTACTCATGAATGGAATTTGATGATTGAAAATGGCGCGAATTAAATAACTGAAAGTGACGTTAATTAGCTGTCAATGACGTTACGTCATGTTACTCAATATTTTTTCCGTTGTGATTTGATAAAATAATCCTTTTCGAAATTATCAAGTTTGCATATTTATGTGTTATTTCTGTTTTTGAAAACTATGAACATTTATTCAGTTTGAAAATCGTGTTTTTTGTCAAATCACTTAAAAAAAACCCAGAAGAATATCGATACAATCATAATTAAGAGTCATGAAAGATGAGACAACAGAACAATAGGAACAGAGCAACACTTTACCTAGATTCTCCATTATCTGGGCACGGATTACGACCAGGGATTCCAAAAGGGTAAACGCCTTCTACTTAGACGACACTCGCCATGGAAATCTTGGTCATCAAAATAATGTCAAGTTCTGAAATGAGAACCAGGTATATAACGACGGAACAAGATAGTTCCTTTACAAGTATTTTACTCATCTAGCTCTATGTCGTAAGTAGAAAATTAATATTTCTCTTTTACACCATGATGGCGACCACAGAAACCCCCCTCCCCCCACATTCTTCAAAAACCTGCACATTTCGAAACCTCGTCTGTCCGTCAGCTGTCCTTGCCAAGTCATTTAAATAGCTTGATTTAGAGACAAATTTATGATAAATTTCCTATATTGACACACAAAAAATTATTGATAATGTCTAACGGATTTACTATCGAGAACGTTGACCACTGGCCTAAGTAACATCAGGTGAAGATCCGAGGTATGTGGTTGGACGTTCCCTACCCCTGAGGCTTTGTGTTTCTCAAGAGTTTAGAAACGGTTAGGTCTGTGCTGGCGCGCCTGTGCCTATGAGCATAACACTGTATCCGCATTGCTTCTAATGGCATGCGACGGACCTCCTGTATTTTGTTCTTAAGGGTACCCAAAGGAAATTACAAGGATATCCCGTCGAAAAATGACTCTGGATGTTCTCGCAGCAATAAACACAGGAAACAAACCTTTAAAAAGGTCATGGGCATGACCCTTGTTGATTAGTAAGACTTTCTTGATAAATTGAGACAGCAGACGAAAAAATCTAAAAACAGGATTTGGAGAGAGCACAACTGAAGAACAGGAGGAAGAACATGAAAGAAATTTGACCGTCATTGCTGTTTCAGTGGGAAGTATCATGTCATATACTTCTGCCATATCAAGTACTCGATAATCTCTAGCATGTATGTTAATTCCATTTTTATTATATTACTTGATTTTATCTTGGTTTATAAGGCGAATGTCCTTGACGAAGACAACGGGTGACGCTTTTATTTGGACAACGCTTGGCTGTAGCCTCCTGTATTTTTGCATTGTTCTCATACATCGTTCCTTTTCATTCTAGACTGTCTTTGAATGAAATTTGAGTAAAAACACAAATATGTTTTCATGTCGTTACTCTTTCATTATGTTGAAAAGAAATTATTTCCATTATTATTTTCAAAAATAGTAATCTTGACGGAATTAAGCTTTATTTTAAAGTTTAATATCACTAAATGACGTGTTTATATTATTGTCCTCTTACTTCAATTTACTATTTTCGTGCGTACTGATTACCTCCCTTGATACAGAAGTTACAAATTCCTTTCCTTTTTTCTATTTATACATCAAGTGTAACGATGCACAATCTATTTAAGTGAATTCAACTTTATATGGACAATTGCGTGGAATAGAGAACTATTTGTCACCAAACTTGTATTCATATAGACTGTATACTACTAACTGTTAACAGTTTAATGAAAATAGATATCGACAATTAGTGCAGATTTAATTGATATAATTACCAACAGAATGAAAAAGTCCTGCGTGTCCTAACTTGATAGGGTGG